ATGTCACTGCCCCGAGCCGAGTGSTGTCCCAATTCGAAGGTTCCTCCTCATGCGGTCGAGGAATGTGGCCCACAAAATCTCAAAAATCAAGGATGCATCTGTGTATCCTCACAGGCCGAGGATTTCCCAGGATTCAATGCACCGACAGCAAACAAAACAGAGAAACAAAGACGGTGGAGTTTTTATTTTTTTTCACTAACTGCAGTTCGGAAATTCATCACGGACTGAAGAATTTGTTTTTAAATGTAAGTTTAGCAACTTAGCTGATTAAATTCATAATGCAATAACATGTTAAATAAAATGCAACTACAGTACAAAAAAATCGGAAAATTTGGCTCTTTACCTTTCTTCGTTATGCGTTATTTGAGTATCCTAAAAAGTGCTATATAAGTTTGATGTATTATTATTATTTTATTATTATTATTATTATTATTATTATTATTATTATTATTATTAAGTGCTGATACTAGAGCTAAACCCATATTATTAATGTTTTTTTCTTATTTATTGACGTGTAACGTTTTTATTGTGAAGTTATTCTTCCAAAGAAAAGACATGTAAATACATGTCCGTCAGATATTAAACTGATCACTACAGCAACGGGGTAGTGTGTGGTCTAGGGTTGGGCAATATTGGCAATAAAAATTAATCATGATTAATTGTGGTATTTAGCCGATAACGATTAATTTGACGATTAATCCCCTGAGTCCCTGGACACCCTTATTTCGTAGTAACATGACCAATTTAGTGGGAAAGATATGCTTTTTGTAAAAAATTGTTCCAAATTGTGTGAAAATTACAGATTTCAGGCTATACATCATATTTTAAATCGTGTAGATAGATAAATAAATTACAGAACTTTATTTTAATGTTCGTCATATTTGAAGCGGAGAGGAGCACTGAGCCGACTGACCGGAGTAATCCCCAGTCAKTCTGCCTGGTGGCATTAATTGTATTAATTGTCAAGTGCCAAAAAGTAATCGATTAATGTTTTTCTGACGATTAATTGCACACGATACGATTATGCCCAACCCTAGTGTGGTCACAGAAAACTTAAGTCAAGTGAAGGCTAGACCGTCTCATTTCACAATAGTTTTATGCAGACTACCCGAACTGGGGAGGATGTGGCCGAGCTGGGCTACGAACTCATGAGGATCCAGACCATGAATTAAGACACAGCCTTTGTGATAGCTGCACCTCCCTAATCCACTTTTTTTTCTTTTTTGTGTGTGTTTTTTCATGGCTGCGTTACAGCACCACATACAGGCCTGGCATAGCTACTACATCATTTTGGATCTTTTTTCTRTTTTTTTCCATTTGGATGAATGCATTTCTAGAAACAGTGGTGTGTTTACTAAAATGTTTTTAGGAACAATAAGCAAAAAGATCATTTTGGAAAGACAATGTTTCCATGTGGACAAGGCCTGAATCATCAGGAGTCAGAGACAAACCATCATCAGTTTCCTCAAACAGATCAGAAAAACACATCCGAATGACTTCACTATGGCAGACAGAGCCGTTAGAGAACACTCTCCTTCAACAACTAAGACTCTCTGAATGCAGGAGTAATGAATCTCAGTTAACAAGCCCATTATCAGCAGAGGAACAACATCATCAGGAGGGACTTCAAATCCACAAATGCCTCACATCCACCGGCCTTTTATTGTTGCTTTTAACTGCTCAGGCTTGCTGTTAACAACTTCACACACTCACACATAAAAATAAAAGTATCATGTGTTTAATCTCATGCAATACGTCATCTTAGTAAACAATGAGGCTGAATAAGGGACATAGGCCCAATTAGCCATCTTTGCTCTTGGCTGTCAAGTGTTTTAACAGCCCGCAAAGATGATAAGAATAACCTGCACACTTTCATCTGTGCTCCACACTCATCAGCGTGGTAGCACCTTTGCTTAAGCACAACTCTGCATCTTGGGTAATTACTGCTTCCCAATTACCTCCCAGCTTGTAAATATATATCAAATAAACAAGCAGCAACCCGTCAATTAGGAGCAGCCTTTCATAACGGGGGTTCAAAATGATGTTTTATGTACAGGCGCAAGAAAGCAGCACAGAGAAAAGGGAGCGTCTGACTTCAAAGAGAACACATATCTGCTAACTGGTTAAGAGCATCCATGAAAATAGCAGTTTGTCAAATAATTAAACTGTGTGTGTTTTTGAGTCAATTAATATGTGCTTCTAATTAAAATGTTTTTATTTTTAATTGCCAACAGGTCAAAACATCAGAACAGAGCATTCCACCAAGAAAGAATACAACAAAAACAAGCTTTTTCTCTGTTTTTTTTTTTTTTTTTKTYTTTACTAGCAATGAGTGAAAAGGGACAGCATCGTTGTTGAACTCAAAGGCAAAAAAAAGAAAGAGCTGCAGTAAGAGTCTGTCAACAAAATCTGCATTGCTGCTCTCTCCTTGTCTCCATTACACTCTCCTGTCTCTCCTCGAGCCCGTCGAGCTGCCGGCTGAGATCTGAGTACTCTGATGGCTTATCACATAGCAAGCAGTAAGCTAAGCCGGAGTGATGCGCCCAAAAGACATGATCAAAGCACACCAACTTTCCACCCAGCGATGGTGATGGAAGAGCAGGCCCTGCCATGTTGTTTCTTATTAGGCCAGGACTGCCAACTGAAAACAGCCGAGAAGTCGAGGATGAAGGCCCTAAAAATGTCTCCTCTACCTTATTTTACCTTACACTGACTGCTGCATTCATCAGGGTTCAAATGATGCTTCAAATTAGAAGTAAATGTCAGTTTTCTGACTCTCGTTATCCCATTACTCTGCTTTAGCAAAGCAATGATTTAATTTCTAGCTTAGTCACATAAGCTTGCATCTTTAAGTGCCTGGCATCCAGCTTCAAATAGCTTTTAAGATATGAACGTTTTGATACGACCCACGTTTGGTTTTTGTAACGAGAAACCTGTGAGATAACACGAGAAGCTGCGGCTGAAAGGGAAAGAAAAGCTCTGCAGCAAAGGGAGCGTAAACAGACAAAGAACATGTTTCACAGATCTAACCACACAGTTTGACTGACAAGTGACTTCTGCCTGGAGCAGCCGAGAAAGAAAAAAAACCACTAAGAAAAAAAAAACTTTCATCTTTTCAAGTTACAACTATGACATTTTGAGGGAACAGTGTTGTTCCAGTAAAATCTGTTCCTGCAGCTGGGAATTTATTCGTCTGATTTTCAGTCTCAGTTTTGGATTTTAACAAGAAAACAATAATGGAGGTGAACGATGATTACTTTGGTTTCATAATACAGCTTGTTTACAGTAAAGGTGATGTCTCTTCCAAACTCACTCCTGATTTGTGTTTAAACTATTTTTTAAAGGCTGTAGTAATTAGAAGTACATTTTGAGTAGGAGCACTGCTCAGTTTTTTTTTTTATAAATATTGAATAATTTAAAATCAACAACTTAAGCCAGAAGGATATGAGTCATCCCAGCAGTCTCCACCACACCTGCCTGACTCAACCTGAACAAAAATCTAATTATATTTTGAAAATTGTACTGATGGACAAAACTAAAAGAAGTCAGAAACTATGAGGTATAAATTAAGCATGGGTCAATGACAAGTTATGTTCGTGATGCTAAAAAGACACGGTGTCAAAACCCCTGAAATATCTGCTGTAACGTCCTTAAATTTTAAATAACCTGACCTGGTGTTTTGAGGGGGAATTCCCCTAAACTTTTATGCTCTTTAAAATAAGTTGGTGTCGACTGGTTGTACATTTTACCCAACAGACACACTGTCCATTATGACTTGTCTACCAGAGAAGTGACTCTCATTTCTTCAAGGTAATGCTCTGAAACAAACGTTTGCAACAAGCTACAAGAGTTAACCTGTTAGCTTTTTAAATATAAACAGCTATATATATACAGCTGCTACAGAGGCTAATAACACAGCTAACATTAGCAGGCTCTCAAAAACTTTAAAAGGAGGACAGACACTCATTTCTGAAGTAAGGAACATAACAGTCGATCAAACATAAAACAGACGCTTTAGGTGGAAACTTCAGCTCGCAGTGAAAAGCACATATTTATGTGAACGGTCTATGGTGACGTTAAACAAACTACTCATGATGATTTATKTCCATAATGTCCTCAACTATCAGTTTTTACAAATGAATTTGAAAACAGCATCCTGACTATGGTGTTAAGTTTAAAAATTAATCTCAACCCCTGTGATTAAATAGAAGATTTAACCTTGACTTTAAATATGACTGTAAACAAAAATGTTATAAATAAAAGCAGATCATGATCAGAGAATCTGTCCTGAATCCATGAATAGATGCAAGATTTTAAAGAAAATAACACGTTCACTTGTGTTTTGTCAGTCTTGTTATTATTAGAAGTGAAGGAAAATATCAACATGCCACAAAATTGTGATATTTCATTTTCTGATTCTGTATCGATTCTCAAAAGCATTGTATAATATTTTAATATTATAATGTGAAATACCAATGCAGTTCTCACTGTTGTTCAGTGTTCTGATTGCATAAAAATTAACTGAATTWAATGTCATGCATGCTGTGTGCTTTACACTGATTTTTTTTTTTAATTATAATCTTTTGGAGAAGAAAATGGCAATATATCACCTTGCTTACATTATATTGAAATATCATATCATGACCCGTGTGTCATGATATGTATCTTTATTACACCGTTTTCTGGCCAATACACAGTCCTAATTATTATATGTGAGTATTACAATTAACATAACTACAATTAAATGTTATATTATGGATTATTATACTGTCCTACTTGTAAGATAATCATTATATAGCTATATGTGATATCTACACAGTTAAAGTATTTTCATTTATGTTATTAAATAAATCATGGTTTTAAATTCATGTTTTATCACTATAATAATGTGAAACATAATTTGTTCATGGTGTATAGCTTCAGAACTTCATAGATTAGGTCAAAGCCTAGTTTAAGTTACAGATCAAAATCTTGTTCAAAGCAAGTTAAAACCGACTTACAGTTCTGATGTCGCCAACTTTCACCAGTGACTTCAGATTGCTCCTAACGCCACTTCCTGTCCATGATGTCCTGGAACGACACACCAGAGAGTGAACGCTTCAGGTCACAGAAAAACTGAAACACTTTGGTGTTAATAACTTCAGAAAATCCCAAATAAAAGTAAGCAGAGCTCATCAGAAGCATGGAGAACACACACACACACACACACACACACACACACACACACACACACACACACACACACACACACACACACACACACACACACACACAGAGAGCAGACAGCTGATGGAAACAGGTGCTGAGGTTTCGCCTGGCAGCTGAACGCAGCCTGTAGCATATGTCTGAGTCCCTCGTGTCTGAGCAAAACTGTTTCCAGCTTACCTGCATCCTTCTCTAAACCAACAAGGGCTGTGCTACACTTCAAACTGATCTTTACCGTGAGAGCAGGAAGCTGTCCCGGTGATTGGACAGTACACCATAACAACTTTTATGGTTGGAAGGAAAAAAGTAAAAGGTGACATAAAATTACACTCTGTTTGTTTAATATTCAAACAAGGTTCTAACCTTGATCCTGTTTCAATCGTTTGATGATCTGCAGGTCAAACGTGAACACTTTAATGACAGCAGGGCAGGGCGGTATGGCCCAAAAGAAAGAAATTCTGATTTTTTTTTCATCCCGAATTTGATTTTTGATTTTAATTGATTATGTTTCCCACTTAACAGAGTGCCTCTGTTTCAGATGTTGAAACAGTTTTTTTGTACTCCTGCTTTTTGTAGCAAGAGCCTTCAAACAGATTTTGCAGTGAGGTGTTTGCTGCTCCAAGTCTGAGGTTCCAAAACCAAACCAGTTCCAGAGAACTGAAGGAACTGTGCCTTTATGGGAAGTAGATCCTCTCTGCTGCTAGCTGCCATATTGTCATGTTGTGTACCAAGCATCTTGAGGGACAGGTTGGGTGACTTCTGAACTGAAGCCCCAAAGAGTGCACTGGTGGGAAAAAMAAATTCAAATTTTCTCAAGATTAAATCTTTATAAATGTCAAATTTGAATTAATCGATTTAATCGATTTATCTCCTAACCCTAAATGACCGTGTTGAATAAAACTTTTCACATTTGTTGTTTTCTTGCTAAAAAATGTCCATCAGACACTCCATAAAGTCTGCTTGTTCCACTTATGAAGCAGCATTTTTTTTTAATTTTAACCTAAAATCAGAAGGCAATTAAAGTGTTATACAGATCTGAAAACAACACAACTCCTATCTGAAAGAAACAAGACATGTAAATAAATTGAATAAACTAGTTTTATTAGACAGAGAGCCTTGTCTGATTTTCCCCAGCAGTGTGCCAGATGTGTTGCAGTGTTGTGTGATATTTATTAAACACAGCAGCTGTAGTAAATTCAGTTTGGAACTTATGTTTATTGATTGTAATTGCGTGCTCCCTCTCTTCTCGAGCAGGCAGTAGCTCTGTTTTGTCACCATCCCTTCCTTTATTAAAGGCAGATGATGGTGGAAGACAGTAATTAATGGCTGCATGATTTAACGTCTATCCTGAGCATTTTGCCGTCTCCATGGAGACAGAGGAGCTCACCTGAAGCTGTCCGCTCTCTGACCAATCACCTTCCTCCTGCTTGGGAGTACAGCCTGCCCGGGCTGACCACAGGGGCCCAGACACACTAACCCTTTTAGYCTGGAAATCATCTTCTATTCTTTGTTATCACTTCCAGTCATGTTAYACAGCCTAATGAGCAGACATACTGCACTCAACACTCCTTGTGTTGTGAGACTCCAACACTAAATTAGATGAAAGACCCAGAATTTCAAATAAATAAATAAATACAAATCTATATCACCTGCCACTAGTGGTGGGCACCAGCCCGCTAAAGCCCAAATCCGCTAATTGCGGACCTAAATATTTCGCTTGCACTTTAGCGGTCTTGCTAATTTTTATAATTCATAAGCGTATTTGCGCATTCTAAAATTAAAATGCAGTACTGCTAATAACTAATTATTTACCAGTCATCATTATCTTGACCAGCGGAAGGTATGGCTGTCAATGAATCACAACACGTGATCCATCCAACAGCACCCCTCCCAGATAAACACTGATTGTGAAGGTATACATCCTTGCTGACTGTTGCTTTGGGTCGCGGTGCTCTTTACCCACAATGCTTTGTGTCTGCTTACGTAGCAGGAAGCCAATAGTAAAAACAGTTACCGTTTGTAATCCATACTAAAATTTTGTATGTATTGCAGTGTTTCCCCTAGGAAATGGGGGGGTGCTACTTGTTTAATAAAAACATAAATTTACGTGACTCATCTGCAATTATGGTAATAAATTTACACATGCATGAATATTACTGCCCAACTACATCCTAGTTAAGGACTCCTCACGATAATTATCAATAAAATTATTATTGATATTAAGTGATCAGAACTGTGTGCAGCAGATGATCTGAGACCAGAGTTCTCAGTTTGAAACCTTCTGGAGCTCTTCTGTGTGACTCTAGGTGTGACAGAGTTTGGATGGTTAATTGTCTCTTTTTTGTCCCTGATGGAGACTGGAGACCTGTTCAGGTGTCTCTGGTGAACTGG